AGGGCACCATTTCTTAGTTCTGCCCATTTCACACATTCATGCATTCAAGACTTTAAGTAACAAGGAGGGACACTTTAGTCTACCAACCAAGTCACAACATTTTCATTTAAGGATACTTCATAATCCAACCTCAGTTCACGAGTTTATCAACCTTAAAAATACAATTACATAACTTATTTAACTTCTATTAACTCAGTAATGTTGACGTAAAAATAGGATCATCAGCATAAGTAAGCCTAGCATGTACAAATACAACTATGCTCCCAAAACAGTGAATCTGGCCAGCCTAGTACCTCATGTTGCAGCTTAGATTTTGAAAAAGGAAAACGGCAAAACTAGACTTTTATAACCTTCATGAAAGATGTAGATACATCTCTTAGGGTTGCAAAAAAACAATAATCACCGCAAAATATATTTTGTACAAAAAGATATAGTCAAGACACTAGCCGCTGGTCATGCCGGATTTCAATTCCCGGAATCTGGGCAGAACTTTCCCTATGTTGCGTCCCATATTTAGTATCCATAAAAGTTAAATTAGAGTTTTACATAAACATAAAAGTTGTAGGTATACGAGTTATCTTTCCAAATCATATTTATTCACTGCAAACTAAGTTCCAGAGCAAGAGATATGCCTAAAATACCAAACATTATCCAGCTCAAAAACAGGTTTCGTCACTTACATCCGAAAGGAATGCCATATCCTATCGATTCATATTCAACAAAGCTTCTAATGTATCAAGAAGAGGCACCTAAGTCTACCAAGTCAAGACACACATCACATTATAAAGATCCTTCACATTCCATCATCATCACATATGAACAATAATAGAGGACACACTTTCAATCACAATACAATAACACTTTAAACAAGATGACCTTGAGATCACATGAACACCTTTATATTCACAACATGATTGCCTCCAAGGCCATAAACACAATACATTCAATAAGTAAACACCTCCACCATAAGTGGATCACACATCAATCTATCACAATTCTATATCAATTCTACCTTAACAATGAAGTTAGGTCCACTTACCCTTTTCCAAAGCCACAATCATCATTCCTCAACTCTCCAATAATTCACAATAGATAAGCATAGCTAATAATAAAATCAACTATTCAACTCCATTTAAGCATAATTCTATCATCATTCCATCACAAACAATAATCCCACTTCATATGCCAACTTTTGGAAATTTGCAAAGACATGGGTTCATGGAATTTCCTTTCTTAAAACCATCAATAATAACATAAATCATCATAAAAAAAACATTTAATGCAAGAACCCATGCTAGAATCAAAATTAGGATTTTGAGTTTTTGAACAACTTTGAAATCTTTTGGATTGACTCTTTGATTGAAGAAGGAATCAAAGATGAAGAGTCCCCATACCTTAATCTTCAAGAACCAAACGAAATTAGAGAAGAAATCAGCAGCCAAATCAGTCTAACACCTCAATATAACCCAAAGAAAATATTAGGAAAAAGACCAAAATACCCTTAAAATTTTCGGACTGAACTGCCCTGTGCGACTGTGCCAACAGCCCAACTTCCAAAGGGCATAACTCACTCATACGAACTCGGAATCGAGCAAACTCAGTGGCGTTGGAAAGATCATTCCAAGGGCTTTCCATACATAACTGGAAATTCACCTAAATCATTCTGAGCTAGGAGTTACGACTGCTCAAAGTTGACCAAAAACTCACCTTTTTTCCATACTTAGCCAAATTTTCCAGATTTTTGAATTCTTTCCAAAAATGACTATTTCCAATTCAACTCTTCTTGGAACTCAATGTGCTACATATAGGGACCTTAACACTCAAGAAATTTTTATTCCTTGGTAAAATCTCACTCCACATGAAGGACAGCTCGAGTCTTAGTTCGAAAAATTCTCTAGGGTGTTACAAATAACCATGTGGTGTCCACTGAGGATGTTATAGATGAGGCAGTGGCAAGTGTGAGCCATTTAATGTGCAAGAATGAACCCTTGAATCTGTACTTGCCAATTATGATGAATCCGAAGTTCAAGGATATGAGGAAGTGGTGGCTACCTTATCAAGATTAGGAGTGTATTCGAGGAATCCAATCAAGTTGGATATCGACCTGAAAAATAGAAAACGTCCTCCCGCAAAGCCATCAACAGAAGAACCACCGAATCTGGAGTTAAAAGCCCTACCCTCTCATCTTAAATATGCTTTCTTAGGAGCCAATAATACTTTAACAGTGATTATCACAGCCGATTTGCTTGAAAGGCAGGTGAAATTTCTCATTGAAGTATTGCAGAAGCACATAAAAGCTATTGGATAAACAATAGCCGATATAGTAGGAATTCCTCTTGGCATCTATACTCACAAGATTCAGCTTGACAGTGAATGTAAACCCAGTGTGGAGCATCAATGGATATTGAACCCTCCAATGCAAGAGGTGGTGAAAAAGGAGATCATCAAGTGGCTAGATGCAGGAGTGATCTATCCTATTACGGATAGTAAGTGGGTAAGTCCGGTTCAATGTGTACTGAAAAAAGAGGTATAACCGTAGTCCCAAATGCAAAATAAGACCTTGTGCCGACAAGACCAATGACTGGGTGGAGAGTATTCATGGATTATCGGAAGCTTAACTCATGGACTAAAAAGGTCCACTTCACAATGCCCTTTATGGACTAGATGCTTGACCGATTATCAGAAAGGGGGTGGTATTGCTTTTTAGATGGGTATTCCGGTTACAATCAAATGTCTATTGCACCGGAAGACCAAGAAAAAACCACTTTTACCTGCCCTTATGTAACATTTGCATTCAAAAGGATGTTATTCGGGTTGTGTAATGCCCCAGCAACATTGCGGCGTTGCATATTGTCTATTTTTTCGGATATGGTAGAAGACACCATGGAGGTATTCATGCACGACTTCTCAGTCGTAGGGGACACGTTTGAGGAATGCTTGACACACTTAGGACAGGTGATCCAAAGATGCGTGGATACAAATCTAGTTCTCAATTGGGAAAAATGTCACTTTATGGTGAATGAAAGTATCGTTCTTGGGCACAAGGTGTCGCAAAAGGGGCAGGAGGTTTGACAAGGCGAAAATTGAGGTCATTGAGAAATTACCCCCACCAATTTTAGTGAAGGGTGTTCGCAACTTATTGGGTCAAGCAGGTTTCTATCGAAGGTTCATTAAAGACTTCTCAAAGATTGCACATCCACTATGCAAACTCCTAGAGAAGGAAGTAAAGTTCTATTTTGATGATGCTTGTATGACCGCATTTAAGTGTTTGAAAGAAAAATTAGTATCCACCCCGTTTATCGTCAGTCCTAATTGGTCTGAATCTTTCGAAGTAATGTGTGATGGTAGTGGAATGGCATTGGGAGTAGTGTTGGGGAAAAACTACAACAAACTATTTCACCCAATTTATTATGCATGCAAAACTCTAAATAGTGCCCAGCAAAATTATATGGTATCTGAACAGGAGTTGCTCGCAGTGGTCTATGCATTTGAAAAGCTTCGGGCATACTTGCTAGGAACCAAAGTAATAGTACACACTGATCATGATGCACTTCACTACTTGATGGTGAAGAAAGATGCAAAACCAAGATTGATAAGGTGGGTGCTATTACTACAAGAGTTCAATTTTGAGGTGAAAGATCGAAAAAGGCTGCAAAAATCAAGTGGCCGACTACTTATCGAGGTTGGAAGGAAGGGAAGATGCCAAGCGTGAGGTCTATATAGACGATTCCTTCCCCAATGAATATGTGTTTGCAATATCTCTCAAACCTACAACATGGTATGCAGACTTTGCAAACTACATTGTAATTGGATTGATACCGGATGAGCTGACCTTTTACCAACAAAAGAAATTATTGTTTGATGTTAAAAAGTACTTTTGGGATGAACTTTACTTGTTTCGAGAATGTGATGACCATGTTATTAGGAGGTGTGTTCCTGAAGAGGAAGCGGTACAAATTCTCCATGCTTGCCGTGCATCTCCAGTAGGAGGTCACCATAGTGGGATTCGCACTGCCACTAAAGTCCTCCAAAGTGGCTATTACTAGCCGTCCCTATACAAGGATTCCTATGAATTTGTAAAGAAATGCTCGCAATGTCAGCAGCAAGGCGGAGTGTCTAGAAGGCACGAGTTGCCTCTCACTTCTATTTTGGAAGTCAAGTTATTTGATGTATGGAGGATCAATTTCATGGGCCCATTTTTGAGCTCTTTTGGAAATAAATATATCTTGGTGGCTGTAGATTATGTCTCCAGATGGGTAGAGGTTGTCCCACTTCCAAATAACGAAGGAAAAAGTGTTGTCCAATTTCTGAAACGCTACATCTTCGTAATATTTGGCACTCATAAGACAATCATTAGTAATGGGGGGTCTCACTTTTGCAATGGGTGGTTTTCAATGGCACTGAGCAAATATGGGGTGAAACGCAAGGTAGCAACCCCATATCATCCACAAACAAGTGGCCAAGTTAAAGTGTCAAATCAGGAAATCAATAGCATTCTGGCAAAGACAGTAAATGTCAACAGAACATGCTGGTCTAGGAAACTCGATGATGCACTATGGGCATACCAGACTGATTATAAAACACCTATCGGTATGTCTCCATACCAGTTGGTTTATGGTAAGACTTGTCATTTGCCTGTCGAGCTAGAACAAAAAGTGTTGTAGGCATTGAAAACCTTAAATTTAGACCGGTCAAAAACTTCAACGGAGAGGGTAGAATAGTTGAATGAACTGGATGAATTTAGACTCAGATCATATGAAAGTTCAGCAATCTACAAAGAGAAGATGAAGAAATGGCATGATGCTCGAATAATCAAGCGGGACTTCAAGGTAGGAGATTGGGTTTTTTTATACAACTCTCGACTTAGACTATTTCTCAGAAAGCTCAAATTCAAATGGTCTGGACCTTTCAGATTAACGCGAGTGTTCACCAATGGTGCTATAGAAGTTTAAGATCAGGAAGGACCTCCATTTAAAGTGAGCGGTCAACGTTTGAAATTATATTTTGGGGATTATCAAAAGATTTCTTTGGTTGAAGTGGTGTATTTAGAAGACGCCTGACGGCACTGTTGTGTCATGCCATGACGTTAACTAAGGCGATGTTAGAGAGGCAACCCAAAACCATTTATTGCTTTCTTTTTCTTTGATAAAATAATAGTGTGTTGATTGTGCAGATGGAAGTATGGAGAGTGAACGAAAAGTGCAGATAGACGAGTGATGAATCCAGTCGGTGAGTCACCAAAAGCGTCGGTGAATCCGATCTTATCCTCCATTTGACTATAGACAGTTAAAATTAGAGTTTGTAAAACTCAGCGAGTGTTGAAAATCATTGGCGAATCGCCGACCATGTCGACGATCACGATGAAAATTGTCGTTTGGATCCCCGTAAACCAAAGGTTCTATTAACTTCTGTAAAGAAACCAAACAGTCGGTTTTCCGCTGAGTAAGTTGGCGAGTTTGACTAACGTCGCCGAGTAGGCCAAAACTGAACAGTTTTTGCAAGCCAAAATTTTAAAAGTTCCAACTTCATTCACTTTCCCTCACTTTTTATTTGTTCAAAACTCACACCTGCACTATAGTTTTATATTTGCACTTCTGGAGTATTTTGATTCATTGGTTTGTGCGCAGATTTGGATTGCATTGCGGCATAGCTTCTCGATAGTATTTCAATCAGTACAAAAGGTTAGTTTCTTAATACCCTTAATTATTTTGTCAACATTGTACTCATTTGCACAATCTTTGACATTGTTAAGATCTGATGAACCTCTCCTATTTGATAGATTTAGTTAAGTGTCGCTTGTTATTCGATAACCTTGCTTAAACAGTGAAATCTTGTTCTTTGATTTATCTAGTAGAGTTAACGTGTGATGGGTGGTATTCGTATGTTATGGGTCTTGGTTAAATATGTGTTATTTTGTGCTTAAATTGTGTTTTCAGGGGTTGCGGGGCTGATTTCAAAAATTTGGGTTAAAAGTAGGCACAATAGGTGAATTAGCGAGCGGTGACGAGCTCGCCGAACCACTCCGCAGTTCGCCTAAGTACCCCATCTCACCTTTACTATCATGCTTTATTTGTTGTGGCTGCTGTAACTTTCGGCGAAAAGAACAGGATTGCCAAGTGCACTCGGTGACTCACCGAATGACACTTTAATCTCCCTTTGTCTGCACCTCTAACTCTTTCTACACTGTGACCTTCAGATGATTGTCTGTGGCTCACTAAATATATTCGGTGGTACGCCGAATAGATCATCTAGCATTTCTGCAGATGAAAGTCTTTATTTTGGTTGTTCTAACATTATCTCAAAGACTTTGCAGACATGGCCAGACCAAAAGTTGCAGGAAGGAACGTGCCACCCAGACACATAAGAGCACAACAGTTTAGAAGAACTGACAAGAGTGAGAACAAGGAAGCAAGTTCCAGTAGAAGGATGCACATTGACCCTGTTGTCCCTTCATGGGCTCAAGGGTTCACCAATGTGATACATGCCCTCAAAGCAGCGCATGATTTGGATAACTTGGTTGAAGCAAACATCGCTATACAAGCTGAAGCAGAGAGAAGAGAAAACAAGAAACTGAAGCAAGCTAACAATAATTCGGGCACTGATGCCCAGTTAGATGGAGAGACTGCGCAGAAATGATTTTTCTTTATCTCCCTCTCTATATTCTTTTAATTTAGATTCTGGATATTTTGTTAATTGCATTTGAGGACCAATTGGTTTTATTTGTGGTGGGGTGAGGCTCACCTTTATGTGCTATTTGTGATTCGTGTTTTGTGTATATATTTGGGTTGTTCTGTTTAAAAATGTATTTACACTATTTTTTTGTGGATGTTTGAGCTTATGGCTCCCTTTTAATTTAAATTACAAAAATGATTTTGACCCTTTCGGAAAGTTTTAAAATTTTCTAAATTTTTTTTCCACCTCTCGTTTGTTGAAAGTGGCTGTTCTTTTGCAAAATTTAAGTCTCGGTTTCCATCAATACCGATGACTTGAATGGTGCTCTCAATTGAACAAACATGAATGTGCGGCTGCGACGAGACCAAATGAAGTTGCATAGACAATATGTTAACTCAATGCATCTCGTTGTGATTATCCATTTATCGAATTGATTCTCTTGTAATGACCGTTGCACACCAGCGAAAATGTGTAGTCTTGTTTGACTTAAGTGTGGATCCCTTGTGTGATGAGCTTACTTTGAACCTTGCATGAATAAACCTAGAATTTGCCCCATTAGTCTGATTGACTTAGAAAGGTGTGCTCTTGAGATGATCTTAGGCAACTTTAAAGAGTGTGAGCCAAATTTGACATGTACTTCTTTTGTGGCCTACCCATGAGCGTGTGAAACTCTTTTGAACACCCCTTGAGCCTTACCTTTCTTTGGAAAAACTTGATGAACCCTAGACCTTACTTGATCCATTACCTATAATCCTATTGATTTGTAGCTTAGTGAATAGCCAACTTAGGCCAAAAGTCTAAGTTGGGGTGTGGTGAAAAGGAAAAGGAGAAGTCAAGAAGTGCAAAAAAAAGTCTCTCTAACCCATGGTACTACAAAAAAATAAAATGGAAACCCTCCAAAAAAAATGAAAAAGAACAAGTTGTGGAATAAAAGTGCAAAAGGAATTGGGTTTCCAAGCAATACACGGAGAGTGAATAAAAGGATGGCTTAGAAGCACTAGAAGAAAAAGTAATAAGGGAAAGGAAAAGGATGTTTTGAGAACATCACATCTCACGAGGATGAAGAAGTCACTGACCCTAAATGACTATACCTTTGCACTCAGCCCCATTACAAGCCTTGAAGAGACCTTTTTGATCTTGAGTAAGCCGAACCAACAGTCGATTGGAAAATAAGGGCAAACATATGGGTGAAAACATGCATTGTGTTCCTTTTTTTGAGTGTGAGCGTTGCATCTGATTCATGATCTTACATTGATTATCTTCTATGTGTGAATATGGAATCATTCTTTGTGTGAGGGCATTTAGATGCTTTCGTTGAGCTTGAACTTGCATTAGTAGAAAGTATTGTGAACATGAGAATCTTTGGTAATGATGTGTCATAACTTGAATCTTTGAGTATATAATTGAATCTTCGCATAAGTAGTTTGAAGTCTTGTTGTGTACATTCATGATTGAGTCTTAGGTAACACTGTTTGAGACACCCTTTGTGATCAGCTGAACTCGAGTTTGATTGAGGACAAGCAAAAGTATAAGTTGGGGGTGTTGATGAGTCCACAAATTAGACTCAATTAGGGCTTTATTTTAATAAAAATAGTGTCCTCAAATGCTTATTTAGTCTAAATATCTTATGAAAACACTTAAGTTTTGGGTATTTGAAGTTTGAAGGAAAGCATGGACACTACTTCACAAAAAGGAACGAAAAGGCAGAAAAGAATGAGAAAATGAAGGCCTGAGGATCGCCGAGTCCACTTTGCGAGTCGCCGAAGGGTCTCACTTCGCCTTTTGTTCTAGTGTGCTGAGCTTGAAGGAAAGGATCAAGTCGGCGGAACAAAGGAGCAGTCGGCGCATCACCGAGAATTTCCATGAAGCGGTACTATATCACCCAATGACCCAGAGGATAACGATGCCGAAGGATGGTGCAAGACGGCGATGAACTACACCAAAGGGTGAATTGCCGAGTTGATCGGCGATTACGACTAATGTCATCGAATGATTCGCCGCAGCACCGATTTTTGAAAACTATAAATATTTGTTGAGAGT